CAACCTTCAGGAACTCACAAAATCATGTTTGAAAATTGTTCCTTTTTTATTTTGAAAATATTGAAGTTTAATTCGTTTTGATTTTCGTTTTCATTCTCCTTTTTCGTGAAGCTGCTCTGTTTTTGTATTTCTTCAATTTGGAAACGCGCATTGTACGTGGTTGTTTGTTCCTTGGGTTAGAAGTTTGAAGCACCGTTCTTCGATGACCATTTGTGGAGGTGAGATTTTGTAGCCATAAATAGAGGTAGTTGTTGTCATTGTTGAAGCACTGCCAAATTTGTTCTGGACGAAGCCCCTTGCCATTCTCCGTCCGAGTCAAACTCATCCCCGTCCCCGTACTCATACCTGTCGAGTATATGATTTTCATCATCATCCTCATCCTCGTGGGTATCGAGTATACCCGTACCCGTACCCGTCAATTTTTTTATTTTTTATTTTTTATAAAAAAATATGATATTTTTAAATTATTTTTTTATATTATAATTATAATTAAGTTATTTCTCTATCTCAAATTATAATAAATAATCACACATAAAAAATATTAAAATTCTTTAATATAATTAAATTAAAGGCTTAAATATGTTTAAACTACCTCGAATTAGGTCGATTTTCAGATTACTACTTTTTTTAAAAAAAAATTTGTTTAAATTACCTTACTAATATTTTTTTTCAAATTAGTACCTAACATTAGTTTCCTCTGTTAAATGATGACGTGGCAAACAGACTGTCACGTCATCGCCCAACGTTGTATGTCATGTTAGCACACAATGGCCACCTCATTTTCCACGTAAATTATCACGTCAGATTTGTAAATTTTTTAAAAATTCGCGCATATGTTGGAAATTTACGAACTCAGAAACCCATTCTCTCATTCATCTTCAACCTTCAGGAACTCACAAAATCATGTTTGAAAATTGTTCCTTTTTTATTTTGAAAATATTGAAGTTTAATTCGTTTTGATTTTCGTTTTCATTCTCCTTTTTCGTGAAGCTGCTCTGTTTTTGTATTTCTTCAATTTGGAAACGCGCATTGTACGTGGTTGTTTGTTCCTTGGGTTAGAAGTTTGAAGCACCGTTCTTCGATGACCATTTGTGGAGGTGAGATTTTGTAGCCATAAATAGAGGTAGTTGTTGTCATTGTTGAAGCACTGCCAAATTTGTTCTGGACGAAGCCCCTTGCCATTCTCCGTCTGTGTTGAAGGTAAGTGGTTGGTTATGTTATTAGGGTTTACAATTTGATAGCCTTTAATTGTTCTGTTGCTAAGGTTTTTTTGACTCAAAGATTTGGTTTCTTTGTAGTTGTGTTAATGGGTTCAATTTGAAACTTTATCACGGGGGTCGTTTTGAGTTAGACCCCGTGATGCATTATGTTGGAGGCAACGAGCCAGTGCATGTGAAGAATATGGATATGGATAGGTGGTCCTATTTTGAAGTCGTGGGAATTGTAAAAGAAGACTTGGCATATGGAGAGCATTCTGTTAGGCTGTGGTGGAAATTTGGTCTTTCTGATTTCAAAAAGATTAATTGTGATAGTGTTGCATTAGACATGGCAAACTTTGCAATTACTAACAACGTGGAAGTGGAAATGTTTACAGTTTGTGATGGTGGCAATGAAGGTGTTGTTGGAGACAATTTATGTAACAGTGATGATAACTCTGTGAGGGATGTTTGGTTGGATGATTCAGAGGAGGAGAGGGCTGCTGGATTAGATGATGAATTTGATATAGAAGTTCCTCAATCCGTACTCATACCTGTCGAGTATATGATTTTCATCATCATCCTCATCCTCGTGGGTATCGAGTATACCCGTACCCGTACCCGTCAATTTTTTTATTTTTTATTTTTTATAAAAAAATATGATATTTTTAAATTATTTTTTTATATTATAATTATAATTAAGTTATTTCTCTATCTCAAATTATAATAAATAATCACACATAAAAAATATTAAAATTCTTTAATATAATTAAATTAAAGGCTTAAATATGTTTAAACTACCTCGAATTAGGTCGATTTTCAGATTACTACTTTTTTTAAAAAAAAATTTGTTTAAATTACCTTACTAATATTTTTTTTCAAATTAGTACCTAACATTAGTTTCCTCTGTTAAATGATGACGTGGCAAACAGACTGTCACGTCATCGCCCAACGTTGTATGTCATGTTAGCACACAATGGCCACCTCATTTTCCACGTAAATTATCACGTCAGATTTGTAAATTTTTTAAAAATTCGCGCATATGTTGGAAATTTACGAACTCAGAAACCCATTCTCTCATTCATCTTCAACCTTCAGGAACTCACAAAATCATGTTTGAAAATTGTTCCTTTTTTATTTTGAAAATATTGAAGTTTAATTCGTTTTGATTTTCGTTTTCATTCTCCTTTTTCGTGAAGCTGCTCTGTTTTTGTATTTCTTCAATTTGGAAACGCGCATTGTACGTGGTTGTTTGTTCCTTGGGTTAGAAGTTTGAAGCACCGTTCTTCGATGACCATTTGTGGAGTTTTCGAGGAAAATGTTGAACTTTTTGTCGGTGAATTGGATACCATTGTCTGAAACAATGGCGTACGGGATGCCGAAGCGGGTAACCAGATTTTTCCAAACAAACTTCTGAACATTAGCAGCGGAGATGCAGGCCAGTGGTTCAACTTCTATCCATTTTGTAAAGTAATCCACCGCAACGAGAAGGAATTTAACTTGCCCCTTTTCCACAGGGAATGGTCCCAGCACGTCTATACCCCATAAAGCAAACGGCCATGGGGAGATGATACTGTGCAACTCTGTGGCCGAAGCGTGTATGATGTTTCCATGCTTTTGACATTGTACGCACTTCTTGACAAACTCGGCGCAATCTCCTTTCAAAGTTGGCCAATAGTAGCCGGCACGCAAGACTTTGGCTGCGAGAGTTCTTCCACCTGAGTGGGAGCCACAGATGCCTTCGTGTATTTCCCTTATTACATAGTCGGCTTGGTGAGTGTCGATACATTTGAGGAGCGGGGTGGAGAATCCTCGCCTATAGAGCTCATTGGAGATCATGGAGTACCGAGCCGCTTGTGTTCGTATCTTTTTTGCCTCTATCGGGTCAGCTGGTAACTCCCCTCGGTCGATAAGGTTCCGAATAGCGGCAATCCAGGTCGGCGTCTCGGTTTGACATACACTCAACCGTCACACTTGGAGAGGGAATCTCAAGGTGAATGGTTGTTCGCAACTGTCCTGGTTTCCGGCTACTGGCGAGCCGAGCTAGCTGATCGGCTCGTTCATTGTTGGCGCGCAATACGTGGCAAACCTGCACCTCGGTGAAGTCGTCCTTGAGCTTCTGGAAGAGGTGGTAATATTGCAGCAGATTGGAGTCCTTGACTTGGAAGTTGTCATTGACTTGTTCAGCCACGATCTTCGAATCGGTCCAGCATATGATTTTTGTGACGTTCATTTTAGTTGCTAGTCTCATTCCTGCTATCAAGGCTTCGTATTCGGCCTGATTGTTTGATGCACGGAAGTCGAACCGAAGGGATTGTTCAACTGTGATTCCTGAAGGGCTAGCCATAATTATGCCAGCCCCGCTACCTTGGGCATTAGAGGATCCATCAACATGCATGGTCCAAGGTTCGTCCTCAAAACATCCCGGAGGAGTGAGCTCGTTAACAAAATCGGCCAAATGTTGTGACTTGATCGGCCCTCTTGGCTCGAAAGATATGTCAAATTCTGAGATCTCAACCGACCATGCCGTCATCCGGCCGGCGATTTCTGGTTTCTGGAGGACCTTTGCAACCGGACAGTAGGTTCTGACTACGATCTTATGGCTTTGAAAGTATTGTCTCAATCGCCGAGCGGTATAGATGAGTCCTAAGGCAACTTTTTCCAACAGTTGATAACGTCGCTCGGCATCTTGCAGCGTCCGGCTGATAAAATAGATGGGTTGTTGACCTTCCTAGTTCTCTTGTATTATGACGGCACTGACTGCACTGCTCGAAACTGATAGGTAGACGACCATGGCTAGGCCACTGACCGGTTTAGACAAAATTGGAGGCGTGCAAAGCCGTTTTTTAAACTGCTGAAAAGATTCTTCACACTCCTGGGTCCACTTGAATCGTTCCGTTTTCTTGAGCAGAAGTAGAATCGGGTTAGCTATCTCGGCTAAGCAAGGGAGAAATCGGGACAACGAGGTAAGCCGTCCGGCTAACTTCTGAACCTCCTTTAATGTGGCTGGGCTTTTCATATCCAGGATGGCCTGGTATTTGTCTGGGTTTGCCTCAATGCCCCGGTTGGACAACATAAACCCCAAAAACTTGCCGCCTGAGACTCCAAATACGCATTTCTCGGGGTTAAGTCTCATTTGGTGTCGCCGAAGCACCTGGAATACCTCGGTCAAGTCGCGTGTATGCGTCGACACATCGCTCGACTTCACTACCATATCATCCACATACACCTCCATGCTCCGACCAATCTGATCGTGAAAGATTTTGTTCATCAAACGTTGATAGGTAGCACCGGCATTCTTTAATCCGAACGGCATCACTCGATAACAGTAGTTGCCGTTTCGGTGATGAAGGCAGTTTTTTCTTCATCTTGGGGATGCATCCGGATCTGATTGTATCCAGAGTATGCGTCTAGGAAAGACAAAAATTTGTGGCCGGATGCCCCATCGACGAGCCGATCGATGTTTGGTAGCGGGTAGGCGTCCTTGGGACAGGCTTTATTCAAGTTAGTGTAATCGGTGCACATGCGCCACTTTCCATTCGGTTTTCTGACCATGACGACATTGGCCAACCAGGTCGTGTAGTGCACTTCTCGGATAAACCGAGCGTCTAACAACTTGCCCACTTCTACTTCAATTGCAGCTTTTCTTTCTTCCCTGGTCTTTCGGCGCCGCTGAGCAATCGGCTTAGCCTCCTTGCTGATGGAGAGTTTGTGACAAAGGAAATTGGGGTCGATGTCGGGCATGTTAGACGGGTGCCAAGCAAACAAGTCATTGTTTTCGTGGACTACTTGTTTAATAGCCAACTATTTTTCTTCAGACAAATTAGCTCCTAAGTGAGTGACTTGGAATTCGGACACTCCCACCTGGAATGGTTGTTTATCTTCAATGGGCTCCACCCTCTCATCTTGATCGATCCGAGGATCGAGGTCCATGGCCGATTGCTCTGATACCGAGTGCACCCCTCTCGGTTCATTCGGTGCTTCGTTCTTCATTTTCGGCAATCGCAAGCTGGTAAAATAACATTCTCGCGCAGTTTTTTGGTCAGCATGGACAGTGACTATTCGCCCTGATTCGGCCGGAAACTTCATGGCTAAATGAGGGGTGGATACGATTGCACCGAGCCGATTCAGGGATGGCCGGCCGAGCAAAATGTTATAAGATGTGCTGGCGTGCACCACCACATACTTAACCGAAATGTCTCGGTACTCAGTTCCTTCAAACCCGAACCGAGTTGACAACTTGATATACCCTTTTGTCTTGACTCGTTCACCGGAGAACCCGACCAAAGGTTCATCATAAGGAACTAGCTCAGACTCCGGAATACCCAGCTGTTTGAATGTGTTCCAATAAAGAATGTCAGCTGAACTTCCTTGATCAACCAACGTCTTTCGTACAATGCAGTTATGAATTTCGACGCTGATTACCATCGGATCATCCTGGTCCGGGTCGATGCCTTTGAAGTTGTCCTCGGTGAAAGTGATGGTGGGAAGGCGACGACGAACTGTCTCCACTGCATGCACGTGCCGAACAGCTCGTAAGTGTCTGCGTTGGGCTGATGAGGATGAACCTCCGCCAACGAATCCTCCTGCTATCGTGTTGATGACTCGCCGAGGCTGTGCCGAAGGCTCTTCCTTTCTTCGATCTCTTGATCGACTGCGTTCTCTGTACGAGCGTGCTTCTGTCCTTCTTTGTTCGAGCTGATCATGCCGCCGCGACCGGTCGGAGTATTTCGAAGAGTTCGGTCGGTCCACGAAGCCTTGCAACTGTCCTTGCTTGATCAAGTCTTCAATCTTATCTTTCAGGGCCGAACATTCGTCAGTTGAATGTCCGTGATTGTGATGATACCTGCAAGATTTGGTCGTATCGGCCCGGGGAGGGGACGACGCCCGTTTTGTGACGGCTAGTACTTCCGAAGCGAGTGCTTGTTCTAGTATTGCCGACCTGCTGGTGTTAAGTGGTGTATAATGGGAATACTTAGGGCCACGAGGGGGCCTCTCGCGGGGTACCAGTTCTTTCGGACGGCTTCGAAAATTGTTTTCAGTCGACTTTTCAGGCTTTGCCGACACCTCCGCTCGGGCCTGGTTACGGAACTCGACTAATTCTTCCATCTGCATGTATTTGTCGGCTCGTCGACACAAATCATCCATGTCGGTAGGGGGTTTCTTACAAATGCTATTGGCAAAAGGCCCTGGTTTCAAGGCGGTGGTAAGGTGATGCAGAGCCACTGCAGGGTTCAAGTCTCGAATTTCAAGCGTCGCTTTGTTGAATCGGCTTATGAACGCCCGAAGGAACTCCTTTTTCTCCTGACGGATGCTGACCAGCGCCAAAGAGGTCAACTGGTGAGGCCGACTTGTAGCGAATTGGATGGTGAACTGGGAAGCTAACGTGCTGAACAAGTCAATCGAGTTAGCTGGAAGCCGAGTAAACCAGCTCAGCGCTCGCCCTTTTAACGATGTTGGGAAGATTCGGCACAAGGCGGCATCATCGGTTATGCTCAGAGTAACTTGAGTTAAGAACACGTCTACGTGTTCATCGGGGTTGGTGGTGCCATCGTACTTGTCAAGGGGCAAGGACTTCCAATGGTCAAGAAGTGCAGATTGCATAATATTTGGCGTAAATGGATGTCGGTGGGCGCCAGCCGGCATTGGC